ACATTTACACTTCAACTTCAACATTTTTACTATTTTCTTCAAATGAAGTTGGTGGTTGTACTGTCGCTTCTAATGAAGGGTTTTCCACATCAGTTTCAGACAGCTTAAAGAGAAAACAATTTCTGTTCAACTTATGAAGATCATCCCTCCAGTACACGGCTATACTGTATACTCAAGAGGCCAAAACAATATATGCAGTGATCTCTTTACAATACTCAATGATTTTTATTACAGAAACAGCTGTTGTGAAATCAGCTAATACAAAACACAAGGATTTCTGCTTTGAAACCATGATATACATGTTTTGCCTTTGTTGAAAGCACTGTTCTGGGAAGCTCACTGTGATAGGTGTTATCTTCTGACTCTGTCTCAGTCTCCTATTTATACCACTCAGGCACTGTCTGACAATCCAGATGCTCAAACTTTATGGGCAAGTTTGCACATCAGCAGTGTGAGCTGAGTGGCGAGAATTTAATGCCAGCCCAAGAACACACTGGATGCAAAGAAGCCCAAATCAGATTTCCTACCATGATATCTGATATTCAGAGTTCATGGAAACATCAGTTTCTCACTATACCTGCTGAAGCTCCTCTTTGGCTAATGGAGGACTGTCCAAAACTGGCATCACATAAAAGAGAAAACACAAGCTTCAAAAGCACCAAAGAGATGCACCACTTGGCATTATATAAAATATTCAAGCATCCTAAAGCAGATTCTGAAAAGCACAAGTAGTTGCAATACATTTTTCCTACTTTTGTTTTGCAAAGTAAAGCTAATTTCTGTAAGAGTCTCCATAACCAACTTCCAGAGTCTTTTACTTCATTATTTGAAAGCAATATAGCACCACTTCCAAAATGCTACAAAGTCAAATGTGTTGGGCATTCTATAGAAAGCAAATTCTTGTTAACATGCATAGTTTCTCATCACACTAGATTCCATTTCTGCATCTGCAATGTTAATTTTTAAAGATGCCAGCATAAACTCATTCTGCATTCACTGTCTATTTTTATTTATTATCAACACTAGCTATTTGTACTGGGCTTATGTGTGTTAAATTATCCATATTTCTTATAAATACAACTCTTTACATGCATGAGAACACAATAAAGTTACTTCATATATTTGCACTAAATTTATACCAAGTTTTTTTTTCATAATCTGTAAAATATTTGAAATGAAAACATATCTTCCCCTTCACACAGATGCATTTATAAGAAAATCCTTCTTTCCTTTTGTTAAAATTTAACTTGAAGTGGCAAATAGTTGTCTCTTACAACACACCAAATATTTAGAGTAGCCAAAATCAGAGCACAACTATCTTAAGTGAACTCCTAGAAGAGGAGTTAGAAATATTGTAAAATTTCACCTTTTAGCTATGCTTATCTTTCATAAGGGGACATTTTTTAAAATATAGAAAATACAAAGTAAGAGATGACTAAACTTCATTTAGAGGAAACCATGGGTTAAAGAAAGCATTTCTAACCAATACAATTAGAAATCACAAGTAACTAAAGGAAAAGTTGCATTCATGCTACCCAGGTGCACAGACAGTTTGATTCTTGGCAACTGTCAACGTACCAGGATTTAACTGAGCAACAGAAACCCAGACAAATAATTTGCAAAATGATTAAACACAACTAAACCTAATTGCACTGACAGGCACACTGAATCCCCACATTTTCTAAGGTCCTCCATTCTTCTGTCAACGGGACGCCTACGTATTCCACAACCAACAATTGCAGGGACAACTTGCCAATGCCACATAAACAGTATTTTAACACAGTTTGAAAATGCACTGCAGCAGAGTGTGTTAGAATTGTAACATCTTTTCTTGGTAGATGAAATAGAAGGAAGGAAGGAAAGGAGGTTTTCAGTAAAGGTATGAACAGGGCATCCCAGAGTGTACAGAGCTGACAAAACTAATGAGCATCTAGAATGGATAGTTCTTGACATCCATGTCTTTTCAATAATATTTTATAACTGGAGGAGCAGTTTTCATTTCTGGAATGAAATAATCCTCTACTATCTTCCTAATTCATTTGTTAAGTCTCACATGAAAGACAAACAGAGCTTTCTAAAATCATTCATTTCTTGGACTACAAAAAAAATGAATGAAAGAACAAATGAGCACATATTTGAATGCAGTACGCATGCAACAAAAGACATTTTTATTTGAAATTACTAGGGAAATGCCTTCCTGTATGTTTTAGTTAAGATAACGTTTAATCTTAGCTTGGTATAAGATGAAGAGAATAATAGTGAAAAACAGTCAAAAACATTGCGAATAAAAACATTAAAATCCAGAACTCACACATGCAACCATTTAAGATTGTTTTTTAATTACTTACATGTTATGGGACAGAAAACAACCAAACTTCAAAGGAGCCTGCTCCCTCAGAGCCACAGAATTACATCTACAGCTGTTGTCAGCTGGGAAATGAGCATGTCTGGCTGTTTCTCTCCTAAAATAATCCCAAGCTGCCTGTTGTTCCAGGCTGTGCTCAGTACCTCTCAGCACCACCAACGTCCTCTCCACGCTGCGGCTACAGATCTGCTCTCCCCCATACTCTGCATAACACCAACGTGTCTGCCCTACGTTCTCCCACTTCCATGGATCAAGTTAGCACACGCAGGAAACAGAAGGCAAAGGGGATGGGAGAAAAAAAACAACAAAACAAATCCAGATGCTGTGCTTTTTGAGGCTACACAATTTCCTCAGACTAGCTTTTATTAGCAATAGCTATTGTTCATCTGGTGAGCAGTCCCAAATCACAGCTATAAAAACAGAAATCATTTTAATTTTTTTTATAGCCAATTACTGAGGCACGTACAGCATATACTGCTTCCTAAATTTACTGCGAGGTTTTTAATTCTCCATTTATTGGAGAAATCAGAAGGGTCAGACAAAAGCTCTGACAGTAATAGGCACTCTCCAACAGAAAAGCGGCAGTCAATTACGAACCATTTGCAGAAATTGTAGAGCTGTCACAGACTCATTTACAGCTGCAGTTCAAGTCAGACTGCTTTTGATTCGCTGAGCCATCTCTCCCCCCTTGCACCTAGAAAACTAGGACAATTTCAAATAGTTTTTAATGAAATGACACTAGCAGACCTGCACACCAACCCAAGGAGTGAACTGCAGTATGGTCTGGGCATTTACTCCAACAAATTGTGCACAAGCCATTTATGCTGATGGATGTGATTGTTTTTCAACTGGAGAGAGGTCAGGGAACAGACCTATCTGTTTTCCCCCTTTTTCTTTTCAAACTACAACCATAGCACATAATTTAGAGCATCAGAGCGAATTTAGCAAAAACTGCTCTGAAAGAATTGTTCTCTGTGTATTTAAATCCAGCTGAACACTCCCTAGTTTCCTATAATTTGCTGTATTTGACAGACAATCAGGGGTGACTGACAAACAAAGCCTTTGTTTCTCTGCTAAAGCAATACTGAATCTGCAGAGCCTCCTCCCCTCCAGCAGGATGGGTGCTCAGTCCCCCTGCCTGCATGGCACACTGGGGGTGGCACACACCCCAGGAAAGCAAGGCACCTTGCAGCACTAGGGATGCAGCGGTGACATGGCCAAGCACCAGCCTGCTCACACAACCAAGTGCTGCATAGGTGTCACCTCGCCTGGGTTCTCACAAAGGTGGAAGGTATTTTGGCTCTGACTGTAACACACTGCAGATGCCCTAGAACAGGACAGCAGAGAAATCTGCACTGTCACCGCCAAATGCATCCTAAGGGGAGAACAATCCCCCTAGGATTTTTTCTTTATGGTTGCAAAGACGTTTTGGAAGCATAATCACAGTGGAACACAAGATAGAGATTATCTCCATGGGAATCCCCTGTGAAAAAAGAGATGAGCTAACGGCCCCAAATCACCAAGCTTCTCCTTACTCTCACAGAAAAATGTATAAAGTCATCTGTATTTGACTGAAGGAGAATACAAACGGACTGCAAACATAAAAGACAATCAGTTCCTCTGGGTACGGTATGGCTAGAGGCAAAACGCATCTTCCTCACTTTGGTCTTCTGAGATTTTACATTTTGCTTCATCTCTGGCTTTCTACTGTTCCTCTCTTACCTCTGCCTGCCTATCTAAATATTCCATACAACCAGTAATACGTTCCTGAACCATATAAACTTCTTTTCTGTTATATAATTGTGTAACATAAGTGTTATCACACATTTAATTTGAGGTACAACCAACTCACCAACAGAAGCAACAAAACCAATTCTGCTGTCAGAATGGCAATGCCTCATAAAGTCCACAGACACGAAAGCTACCCATGCTAGCACCTGGGGGGTTCAAAACAACATGCACTTGGGCAGGACACAGACTGCAGTTTGACAGATGTGGAGGAAAAAGGGTAAAAATTGCTCTCTGAAGACCAATGCATTCAAAGACAGACACTAACTGTGAGGGTTCCTACATCATTCTCCAAAGCCCTAACTGAGAAAAGGCATGAGCATCCATTATTTCAGCTGAAGTTAAATAATATTTGCAGATGCATAAAGGTTCTTCAAATAAGACAGCAGAAATCACTAGGATCTCCAGAACTGCATCTCTCAAAGTTTGCAAGTCAGTTGAAATTATTCATGTTATGTAAGTGTTGCTTTGGTCAATGCAATCTCAACAAGTCCTAATACTATCAGCAAAGAAAAAAAAGTAAGAATTAACTGAATCAGTTAAAAAGCTGTACTAGTTTCATTGTTCTCTGGAGAAGTGGATTCAAGCAACACAGAAAGAGGAATTTGACAAGTCTTCATCTCTTTGCCATTTGCCCCTATCACAATGCTTTTGGAGATGCAGCAGCTATTCCAGAGATGCTGACCTGCCAGCAGACAGCAAAATACTAAATACAGCTAATATGCTTGCATCTTTTTCCAACTTAGTGCCATTATATTAATTTTTTGCCCCCTCAAAACACTGTGTTAACAATGAGATATCTCTACTTTTTCACTTTTAAGGATTCTTATGTCAGGTATATTCTTACCCTGAAAGGTGGATCAGTCTTCTCCCTCTGTGGTACTTGGTCCAGAGTGCCATCCGTACTGCTCCTTTTCAAGCTGGATGTGACATCGGGCACATTATTAAAATCTGCATTTGAGAGAAAACAAATAATTTAGAGGGTTACAGGAGAGGAACAGGAAAAGTATTTGCTTTTATCTGCAGATACTTTTAGTGCCTAGCAGAATTTTTATAGAGCAAGAGAAGGAATACAAGATTTGCCACTCACCCCCCCTGCCATATGGAAAATAACAGAAGAGGACAAAGTCAAGAGAAGCTCTGTCTGAAAATTCTGCTTTTAAAACAATGAGCTGGACTTGTAAGAACCATCTGAAGCAATATGCATCTCTAATCTACAAAAACAAGCCTCACATTCTTGCTAGCAGCATGCTTTCTAAAGTAGCTTTATTTATAATCAGCACACTGTGCTAAGACAACCAATGAGGATGCTCTCAATAGTTCTCCTTGGATGAACATGCTATTTGACATGACTTAGTCCTGAATCCCTTATAGATTTAAAAAGAGAATTTTGCCTTGGAACAAGCACTACAGTTTATAATACTGACGAAACTTCATCCTGTTACTATCAGTTAACCAATTTTAATAAATTTGGATTTCAAGTGCAGGGCATCTGGAAAAATGAAAAAACAGAGTAGTAGGAAATGTCCTACTCTACTTATTGAGAGGCTGTACCTCATTTATGTATAAACTCAAGATCCATCAAACAACACTGAACATTCATATAAAAATAGTAATTTTCTCTTTATGGTTCCTCAACTGGTTGCTTAAAATGTGCAGTGAATTCTTTATTAAAAAAACTATTAGAAGGGAAACAAATTCTTCTGTTTTTTGATCAGCAGTATTATCAACCCAAGTCCTGTTTTCTGTCATGTAAGCCTCTAGGATATATCTCACACCACATTTTCAAAGTTTTCCTCAACACCTACAAATGCTGCGTATATATTTTTATACGAAAGCTAAGATTCTCATTTAAACACTGACTTCAAAAACTAATTGGCAAAAGTATTATTTATCTTGTAATAAAAGCATGAGAACTAGAAGCAATGTGATTTTCTCTCCACCTGGGTGTTTAAATCCTGAAGTGGGGCTTTTTCTGCTGTTTTTATTTTTACTATGAGGCAGTTGTTGTATCCTCTGCATCCTTGATTTGATGGAGAGCTATCAACCAGACTTCCCTTCCCCAGCCAGCTCAGCAATATCGTTGCTTTCTGGCTTCAAATTGGTTGAGGACAGGACTTGTTGCTGGCCTGTCCCGATCAAATAGTTCCTGTTAGCAAGGATTCATAAACCCAAGCAAAGAGGGAAGTGGGAATTTTAGACCTGAAATAGCACCACTTATCTCAAGCTCAGTGTCAAGGTTGACACTTTACACTCAGACACCGAAGACTTGACTACTCTGTCTTTTCCCACTTAGGACCAGTGTCCCATCTCTTTTCTCCTCTCAGTATCTTGTGCCTTTTCCATCTGGAGTCAGATGTAGCTTCTGATATCTCAGAGACCCTAAGCCACCTTTGCAGAAACAACACATTTTACACAGCTTCACCAGTCACACATCTTCATTAAGAACTTAACATGGAGCCGCTTTTACTCTTCTTCCTCCACCACGCATGAATTATTTTCTTCTGCCTTCTGGAATTCTAAAGTCATATTGAGCCTCCCTTTTGTATATGGGTCACATGAATGACCACTGACTTCAGTCACTGTCAGCTCCTGGATTCACAAAAAGTAAGCCAACTCCTAAAACATTAATTGACTTTATTTGCCATTTGGGCTCTTTTTACTTGTCTTCTGTCTTTCAGTGCCATTATTTTCCCCTACCTTCACACAGCATGCAGCTGAGATTGTCTGTTTGTTTTTCTCATCAGAGAGCTACCTGATGTCAAACTGGATATCACTGGGAAACTCATATCCTTTCCTTGATTAACAAAGTGACCACTAATCATAGAATGGCTTAGTTTGGAAAAGACCTTAAAAGTCATCTAGTTCCAACACCTCTGTCATAAGCAGGCTGCCCAGGGCTCCATTCAACCTGGCCTTGAGCACCTCCAAGGGTGGGAGGCACCCACTGGGCAGTCTGTTTCAGTACCTCACCACCCTCTGAGTAAAAAATTTCCTCCTAAAATCTAACCTAAAAATTCCTTCTTTTAATTTAAAGCCATTCTCCCTTGTCCTGACATTACCAGACCATGTCTCTCTCCCTTCTGCTTATAAACTCTCTTTAAGCACAGGAAGGTCATAATGAGGTCTCCCTGGAGCCTTCTCTTCTTCAAGCTGAACAAACCCAACTCCCTTAGCCTTTCTTCCTGAGAGAGGTGCTCCAGCCCTCTGATCATCTTCGTGGCCTCTTCTGGATCTGCTCCAACAGCTCCCCATCCTTTCTGTGCTGGGGGACTGAGACCTGGACACAGTACTCCAGATGGGGCCCCATGAGTGCGGAATAGAGGAAAATAATCACCTCCCTTACCCTGCTGGCCACAACGTATCAGTCCTTTACAAAACAGGAAATAAGTGAAACTAACCTCCGTAAGCAATGAAGCAAAAGCATAAATGTAAAAAAACGACAATAAGGTAAAACAATCAGTAGATCCCAAGAACAGAACGAATCATAATGACAACAACCAAAGCAGGCAGCAAAATATTGTATCACTTTTTCCATATAATCTATCTTTTCTTCCCTTCACTCTTGTCTTTTTTTTTTTTTTTTTTTTTTTCTTCTTCTTCTTGTAGTCTCCTGGACTGTCAGAGGTTGATTTATATTGTCTTGACCATTTTCATAGCATTTGCTATTGGCGTAAAAACTGATTAGAGTTAAGAGTAAGCAATATTAAATGCCATTTTAAATACTGAATTTAAAAAGTACATGGAAAGGATCCAGAGAGAAAAAGGACATCCTACTGTACACTGTATGCCAAACTAACACAGAGAGGGAAGGAAGGAAGCATGGCTTGTTGATCAGTTTAGCATCCATATCCTGTCTCCCTTTTCTCCTTTTACTGTGGAAGCAGACTTCCTCTGGATTTGTTCCTACACATCACTGAACTATTCCCAAAGAGCAGAGAAGCATCAACATCAGCTGCATAGCTAAAAAAATAAGTCAAAGGGTAAAGAAAATATACACTGCCTTAAAGAATGTGAAATTTCAAGTGCAAAGCTTAAGAACACAAGCAGAATACCAAAATTCTCTCTTGTTTTACTAAATGAAACAGGAATAATAAGGCAACCCATAAAACTGAATCTTCTTTAAACTTTTACATATGGATTGAGCTGTACCACAGGATTCATATAGCAAAGATGTTCAAAAACTGTAAAACTGTTACCTTGCAGGCTGCGGTAGCTACTGTTCTTTCAGGATAGCAACATAACCACAGAGAGTGTGTACAGCATTCAGATCAATGTTATAGCCACACAAGTATAAAAATTGTTTCAGTATATAACATTTTGGATCTTCACTGAAAATTAACAAAGTATGCAAGTAGATATATATTCCTAAAAATTATCTAAACAAAAGGTCAAATTGCCACTTCTTGGCAATGGTGTTTTCCTCTTAGCCACCTCTATGTTACTTAGTACAACTACATTACTAACTAGTTAGAAAATAAAAAGAATGACTGCTTTGCTGGAACTATATTGCCTAGGAGATGTCCAGAACAGTAATGGGGAGTATCTCATTACTAGTTCTGCCTATACAATACCACTACCGTAGTATATTAGATTTATCCTATTGATACGGTTGTAATAAACCTTTCTGGAAGAAGAAAGCATCTGATAACGTTGCTGAGTTAAATGAAATTTGTTTTCAATATTTTAACATAATTTTTCTCACATGATGCTGAATGAACATCCCTCTGTTCTATTTACACATGTAGACGCTCACATACAGTGAGTTCAAATGTATATCCCTTCCATCTGAGAAGGACAGATATCTCAGAAACAGATAGCTGCTTCCTATTTAGCAACCAGGAGAACCTCCAGATGCCAAAATACAAGTCAGCTTACTGTGAGTAAGCTAAATAGCAACCTCAGATAAATGATAATATCCTCAGAAAAGCACAGGGACAAAATGCCATTTTGTGAAAAGGTTAACTACAACATATGACATGCACAACAAGCCTTATGCTTGCTTTCCAGTGATGAATGATCAAGCATTAAGAACCCGATGATCACCTTCAACTACCAACATCATCACCAAAGGAGGAAGTGCGCTGTGTGTATCAGGCTTTGGACCAACAAATGCAAATGTTCCAAATGAACTTCCTCCCCACTGCCATTACCTCTGCAATACTGTGTCTCTCTGGCAAGTAGATACATGACTCTGAATCACTCAAGACAAATAGCGAAGAGAAAGAAATGATAACACAACCACTAAAAACTGGAAGAAAATATACTTGCTAAGTCATGTTTCTCATTACTAATTATTTGGTTTAAAGTGGGCATGGCACAAACAGATGGGAGAATCAATGAGAAAGATAAAAATACAGCACATCTGAGAGCTCTGTACACCTACAGAAATGCCTCTTCCACGTCTCTGTGGTGAAACATGTACAAGTGGTCAATACAGAAGACATTCAAATATTTGTCAGTGATGAGGTACAATGGAAACATCCTCCAACAGATATGTGAGACAATAATAACCCATTCTATGTTCCTAGCCAAGACACCAAAGGAAACCAATTGGAAAATATCAACATCCAGCAATTCATTTACCATAAAGTCATCAACAAATTCAAATCTCCTTTTCTTGTTCAATTAACCAAGAAGACTTAATTACTTTCTACTCGGTGCTGCTGTTACCACTTCAGCCACTGACTGCAAACAAAGGCAAAATTACCACAGGGAAAAAGTATAAACTGAGAATTCTGCTTCTTTTATAATTCTTGTTTGTAATACTTTGAAACATGTAGATTTTTCTCACCAATTTCAAAAAGAGAAATACTCGTCTTAAGCATGTCAAGTGTTATCAAGTGTCAAGCACTATGTAGGTGGTGTAACCAGCCCCTTTTTCAAACTACAAGAAGAGGGTGTGTTTCCATCTGCCACTATATTGATAACAATAAATTGCAAAAAAAAAA